GAACCAGCATTAACACCGATAATAATGTCAGCATTGAAATCCAACGTAGAATCACTCTTGCCAACAAGTGCTACTTTGGACTGAGTAGGCAATTCAGGAGTAAAGTCCTCTCTCGACGTACGAAAACCACGCTCTATAAGTCACTCATCATGCCCATGCTGGTACAGTATATTTTGCTTTGCTGCCTTTATGCTTAAGTGCACATTTAAGATACCTACCCCAAAATGCGCATCTGAGCCATTATTTTTAACATTTATAAGGAAACTGCTCCGATAAATGCATTCAACATACCTACACATTGGCGATAGCTGCCTTAAAAATTTTGCAACTAGTATCAATTATCAAAGAAAGTATTACGTTTACCTGCACTGGCCTACAATTATCTAATTTTACAAGCTTTTATTTATTTTACTCATATCGCAGAACAACGGAAATGGCTATCAATTTTTCTAGTTATATAGATAATAAGATACCATTCGAAAAAAAATTTCGCTTGCATTATTTTCTTCGTGATAAGTGCTTCTCCATTATTTGGTTTCATAGGGATTCGGATACCTTCCTCATTGAAGTANGAGTAAAGTCCTCTCTCGACGTTTTTTCGTGCAAAGAGGGATGTGCAGCTAAGCAAAATATACTGTATATGGCGCAGAAGCATGGACAATGACAACATCCGATGAGAGGCCTCTTGGGGTGTTTGAGAGAAAGATTTTGCGGAAGATTTACGGGCCTTTACGCGTTGGCGACGGCGAGTACCGCAGACGATGGAACGATGAGCTGTATGAGCTTTACAACGACATGGACATAATGCAGCGAATTAAAATATAGCGGCTCCGCTGGCTTGGCCATGTCTTTCGAATGGACACCGACGCTCCAGCTCTGAAAGTATTCAACTCGGAACCCGCTGGTGGAGAAGGACTTGGCTTTCCTTGGCGTTTCCAATTGGCGTCAGTTGGCACAGAAGAGAAACGACTGGCGTGCTTTGCTGAACTCGGCCAAAATCGCTTAGGCGGTTACAGCGCCAAATAAGAAGAAGAAGCAGCAGGAGATCAGCTAATTTGATTTTTTCCTGTATTTTGTATTTAAATTTTAATTATACTACTTAACTTTAGTTGCTATTCATAATACATTTGAATTTCAGTAGCGTTGTCCATCGGCGCTATCGGTAGCGTTATGTCCATATTCAAGCCATACGGTAGAACTTACAAAAAAATTGGTATAATGCT